GGAGAAGCTGGGGAAGTGGAGGGAGGAGAAACTGCAGACAGATGTAATAGATGAAAGAATGAAAAAAGGGGGAAAAGCAACCTGCCTTTGTTTTTTTGTGGTATAAACAGAGATGACCTCATCTAGCTGACTGGAATTCCTGGTGCAAACACCTTCAGAGAAAGAAGTGGAGCACGTGGCTTTCTTCTAGGCAAGGGCCTTCTTGGGCTGTTCCCCCACTGTCTGGGAGCCCCCGCGGGATCCGGGCAGCACACACTGTGGAGGGAGGTCTGAGGTCACACCAGTCTGTCTGGTCTAACTCCTGATCCTCCTGCCGCCAGCAATGCAGTGTTGGGATGAGAGCTGGCGCACACACCGCACCCACCATGCTGGGCATTCAGGGGTGGTGAGCTCAGAGCCCAGCCTCAGCAGTTCTTCAAAAAGGATCGCATTACCAAGTGTGCTGGCCGTGCAGCCTTTGATCCCAGCCCTGGGGGGAAAGAGGCCAGCCTGGTCTACATAGAGAAAGAGAGAAAGGAAGGAAGGGAGGGAGGGAAGAAAGAAAGAGAAAGAAAGAAAGAAAGAAAGAAAGAAAGAAAGAAAGAGAGAAAGAAGAAGAGAGAGAGAAAGAAAAAGAAAGAGAGAAAGAAAGAGGAAGAGAGAAAGAGAGAGAGAAAGAGAAAGAAAGAAAGAGAAAGAAAGAGAGAAAGAGAAAGAAAGAGGAAGAGAGAAAGAGAGAGAGGGAAAGAGAAAGAGAAAGAAGAAAGAAGAAGAAAGGAGGAAGGAAGGAAGAAGGGGAGGGGGTGACTCACTGGTTAAGAGCACTTTTTGTTCTTGCACAGAACCCAGCTTTAGTTCCCAGCACCCACATGGCAGCTCACAACCGTCCCTAACTCCAGTTCCAGATGACCCTGTTGTCTTCTGGCCTGTTTAGACACCAGACACACACAGTACATAGACACTTATGCAGACCAAACACTCATACACACAAAAATGTGTATCAATAACACAGGTTTAAAAAGAAAGGTGTAACCCTGGGTGTGTGCTGGTCCAGCCTTCCAGACCCAAGCCCGAAGGAATAAGGGTCTCAAAGGCAGTGGGGAGGTGCGGAGTGGGAGGCCTGGGGACTGAAGAATGAAGGCAAAAGCCATAGCTGGCCTGGGAGGCCTTGCGTAAGCTGATGACTTAAGCTGAGCAAGTTTACTGGGAACTAACAGCATCTGCCGGGCAGTGGTGGCGCACACCTTTGATCTCAGTGCTCCAAGGCAGAGACAGGCGGATCTCTGTGGGTTTGAGGCCGGCCTGAGCTATGGAGTGAGTTCCAAGACAGCCAGGGCTACACAGAGAGACCCTGTCTCAAACAAACAACTAACTCACTCACTAATAAAAGAAACCCAGCATCCTATATGCTATTTGCAGGGGAAAGTGGTCAAGGTTAGCAGAGACAAAGAGCACAGGTCTCAGGCACAGCTGCCCCAAGAGTGATAATCACTGCCCTGTAGGGGAGAAAGCCAGCCTCCCAACTCTTAACTCTGGAGGCTCAGGCCCAACCCTAGGCTGGACCTTGCCACATGTGCCCCTGGACAGGGACAAAGAACTAGTGTTCCCTTTGTCCTTCCATTGGGGTCCATCACTTAGAGATCAGTGAAGGGAAAGTGACCCACAACCATGAAATTATTCTCTTCGTAAGTTTGTTACTGTTAGGAATCATAATGTAAATATTGGTGTTTAGGAGACCCCTGTGAAAGGATTCATGGGTCCCCTAAGGGGTTGTGACCCACAGGTTGGGCAGGTTGGGGACCGCTGCCTTAGCAGAACCTACTAATCAGTTAACTTTACTGGTCAGGTAAACATAACAGAGACAGAAACTCCAAGGCTCTTTGGACAAAGGGGGAGATTTTACACTTTAAATCTTTTTTTTTTTCAAGATTTATTCATTTATCATGTATACAATGCTGTGTCTGCATGTACACCTGCACGCCAGAAGGGGGCACCAGCTCTCATTACAGGTGGTTGTGAGCCACCGTGTGGTTTCTGGGAATTGAACTCAGGACCTCTGGAAGCGCAGCAGGTGCTCTTAACCTCTGAGCCATCTCTCCAGCCCTACACATTAAATCTTTAACTATAGTTTCAGTTGTCCAGACACAGACCAGGGTCCTCTGAGACACTGGGACTTACGGAAAGAGCAGGACTGACTGGCCACAGGACTCAGTGGCCCGGCTCTGAACTCTAGGGCTTTGATATGGCCACAGGACTAACAGCCATCTGAAGCTTGCTCTGGGTCCTGTTAGAGGCAGGAACTCTTCTGACCGTCCCCAGCAAGGCTGCTCAGCCCTGAGCAAGCAAGCGCCCCCTCAGTTACACTCCGGCTCACCAGGTCCTCCAGGGTGTCTGGGGTCCTCACTGCGGGTGGCTGCACTTCTGTTATTTTGGTGGTGGGAAAAGGGGGGAAACCTGGTCTGAGAAAACAAATAAAATTAGAGATGAAGGTTGGGGCTCAGGGGCTCAGAGTATGTGCAAAACCGGGGGTCCACACCCAGCACCTGTAAACAGGCATAAAGACACCTGCCATCCCAGCACTTGGGGGGTGGGAGATCAGGAGTTCCAGGTCATCCTTGGCTACAGAGTGAGTTCCAGCCTGGGCTACAAAGAGGCCCTGTCTTCAAAATAAGCAGGTCGCCCCAGGACTCAAGTTTTGGTCACTTGGGAGAATGGGGCTCTCAACACACAAAGCTCTCCCAGAGCCTGGGGCTGGGCTCCTGAGACTGGCCACCTTCGGCCCCGCCCCGTGGCTCTCTTTCTCAATCCTGCCTTTATTTTAGCAGACACTAAGCAGGGCAGGAAGCGGGTGTGGCCACCCTAAGCCTCTGAGTGCTGGTATTTATTTACAACTTCAGGCTAAGGCTCAGAGGCAAATCCTTACAGAGCTTGTCCTACTCTGGGTTGGGAGGAAACAGCTGACTTCCTGAGGTGGGAGGGGTCCTCGGGGTCACTGAGAACAAGATTGTGAAAGAATGGTTGGTGACAACCCACCGGTCCTCTTAGGCTCCTGGGCTCCCCCAGAGGGACCCAGCGCCTCCAGAGGGCTCCTGACAGATGGCCTCCTCGAGCGGTCAAAAAACAGAGCCGATTTAAGGGCTGGCTGAGCCCAGGGAGGGGGTGGGACGGGCAGCTGACTGAGGAATTTCGTGAGTCACCCTCTGTGTGCAGCCCTGTGGGCCCTTTGTCCTCCCTGTGTGGAGGCACCTGTGCACAGACCTGTGGGACCTGGACAAGCGACTCCTTGTGTGGCCTTTATTCTCACGTAGGCCCTCAGGCCCTGGGGCTTCTTTTACTTGTGCAGGGACCTCTGAGGTCACATGATAACTGCTGTGTGGAAGCCATGCTGGACTGTCCTCCTTAATCTCTTGCCGCCTTGTTTTCTAAGACAGAGTTCACTGTGTAGCCCTGGCTGACCTTTGGAACTCCTTCCTAGACCAGGCTGGCCTCTCTGCCTTCAAGGGCTGGGTAAGGGTGTGGCCGGCACACTTCTCTCTGCCTTATTTTGAGGCAGGGAATCCCTCACTGACCCCAAGCATTTGGCTGTCCCAATTCAGCCCCAGGGATCCTCCTGTCTCAGGTGCTGGGATTACACAAGTACCCATGTGTGCCTGTCACCTGCGTGCTGAGGTCTGAACGCAGCCCTTTGTGTGTGCGATCACTTTGTCCCCAGTGCCACCTCCTTCCCACGACCCAGTCTGTACAGCCTCCTCAGGGGTCAGGATCTGGCCTGCTGTCATAGACCTGGCATCTTAGTACCCCGGAGTCTAAGGCAGGGGGATTGCTGTGAGCCTCTAGCCGGCAGGAATGAGGGAAATCTGGGGCTTGGGCTGACAGCCCGCACTTAGCAGGCTCCAGGCCCTGGGTTCCATCCTTACACTGCCAGGCACTGCACATCTGCCTCTCCAGCTTTTAGGAGGTGAAGGCAGGAGGATTAGGAGCTCAAGATTATCCTGGGTTTACAAAGTGAGTTGAGGCAGGCCTGGGGTACCTAAAACCAGCTCTAAAGAAGAGAAAAATAGTGAAATGGACGTGTGTGTGGGCTGGAGAGAATAACATACACCTGCCATCCCAGCACTCAGTAGCCTGAGGCTGGAAGAACAGGGGTTCAAGGTCATCCTCTGCTACATCGGTCAAGGCTAGCCTGGGCTACATGAGATTCTGTCTCCAGGAGAAAAAGGAAGCTCCTGTGCTCAAAGGGGGTGATTAGGGGGATGACTCTGCCTCGTTTTCTATTCCCAGGGGTTCCCCTAGGCGCCCTGGCCCCCTGCCCAGCTGCAAGCAACCTCGCGGGTAACTAACTGTCCGCAATACTCCAACGCGCACTCCGCGCGGACGCGGCTCCCGTTTCTCCGACCGCCCCATCACTGAGCATGCGCAGTTGCTGACAACAACAAACCCGCAAGCCCAGCCCCGCCCACGCCACCCCCTCATTCCGTCTTCCCATTGGCTGCAGGGGCCTCGCGTCTTCAGCGCAGGCGCACCCGACCAGTAAGAGACGTCAGTGGGCGTGGCCAAGGGCGGGCAAGCCACACTCGGCCTCGTGCGTCCATTGGTCGGCTGCGTGAGGGGAGGAGCCGCTGGCTCCGGCCGCCGAGATGAGCTGGGGCCGTCTGAGCCGCTTACTGAAGCCGGCACTGCTGTGCGGGGCTCTAGCTGCGCCTGGGCTGGCAGTCACCATGGTGGGCGCCCTGGGGACGCGGGGGACTGCGGCCGCGGCCGGGGGCGGGGGCCGGATCCCCGCGTTCAGGATGGAGATCGGGGGCCGTGGGGTCGGTTGGCTGGAGTGGGGGGCGCCCGGGTGGCATCCCCGAGGCCGCACAGAGCCAGGCCTCGGCGGGGGAAGGTCCCCGGGGGCGTGAACCGGTGTCGGGGTCACCATGGCGGGCTCTGACCTGGTCACGCGCCCCGTCCGCCGCGGTGCGTCATAGTCGGCGGCGCCTTGGCTACCGGCTCTTTGTCCCCGCGCCGCGCTCGGGACCCGCAGAGGGGCGGCCATGGGCCGCGCGGCCGCCGGCACCCCGGGACGCTGCAGGCAGCGTAGCCGATCCCGGGGAGGCCGCCGACGGCGTCGATGCCGGCGCCGGAGTCCTCGGAGGCGCCGGGGCCCTCGGCGGAGGAGAGCTCGCTCGCGCCGCCGCCGCAGGGCGCGCGCCCGCCGGATGAAGTCGGGGCCCGAGTCGTCGGGCCCTCCTCCGGCCGCGCTGCGGCAGGGCCCCGACTGCAGCAGCTGCGCCGAGCTCCTGGGCTCGGTGTGCGTCCGGGGACACCCTGCCCCCTCCCCCGGGAGCGTCTTCAGGGGGCCGCAGCCTCTCAGGACTACCTGAGAGGGGCGCGTGTGCGGACCGAGGAGCCTGCCCTCCCCGCCCGGTGCCCCAGGGCTTGCCCTTGTTTTTATTTTATTTTATTTTTTTGACCGCCTGGGGGAATGGAGGTAGGACACTCAGTTTTCCTCTTTCACAGTGCGCATCCCGCGATGATTGGCGCTGTGCGCGCTCCATGCACGAATTCTCAGCCAAGGACATCGACGGGCACATGATTTGCCTGGATAAGTACAGGTGGGTGCCTGGACAGGAGGGTGGTGCAGGGCCAGTCTGAAGACGGGCCTTTCCTGACGGCCGCCTCATTTCCACTCTTTTTTTTCTCCCCCAGGGGTTTCGTGTGCATCGTCACCAACGTAGCCTCGCAATGAGGCAAAACCGACGTAAACTACACTCAGCTAGTCGATCTGCATGCCCGATACGCCGAGTGTGGTTTACGAATCCTGGCCTTCCCTTGCAACCAGTTCGGGAGGCAGGTGCGTGGCTGTCCCCAGTCGGCGCCCCCCCCCCTCTAGGGCCTGGGTCAGTGTTTGTGTGCAGGGTCTTTGTGTGCAGGGTCGCGCACCTTCCAAGTGACTGTTGCTTTCCACAGGAGCCAGGGAATAATCAGGAAATCAAGGAGTTTGCGGCCGGCTACAACGTCAAGTTTGACATGTACAGCAAGATCTGTGTGAATGGGGACGATGCCCACCCATTGTGGAAATGGATGAAAGTCCAGCCCAAGGGCAGGGGCATGCTGGGAAAGTGAGTGGCCCTGGCGGCGTGGGCAGATGGCCAGATGGCTCTGGGCCAGGGTGGGAGTAGGTGACAGCTTCTTAGTTTTGGGTGTGTTTGGGGGGGGGGGGGGCGCTCTCACTGTGCAGCTCTGGATGGCCTGGAACTCACAGGTCTTCCTGCCTTGCCTCCAAGGCAAGGGATTGAAGGTGTGAACCTCCTGACCCTGCCTCAAAGATTTGTTTCTATTTCATGTGTTGGTTGAAATAGAGAACCACCTGGGTGCATTGTCAGCAGAGGCCAGAAGAGGGGGTTGACTCTCCCGGAGCTGGAGTTAGAGGGTGCAAGGCACTGAACTTTTGTGTTCTCTGTAAGAACAGCCAGTGCTTTTAATCAGTGCTCTTAATCATTGATCACCGTCCTCCCCTCCCCCCTGAAAACTTTCCTTTTGTGTATGGGTGTTGTGTCTGAATGTCTGTCCGTGCCGTACATGCATGCCTGGCACCCTCAGAGGTGAGAAGAAGGTCTCTGAGTCCCTGGAATTGGAGTTAGAGACTTGGGTAGGCCAGCACGCTCTGTGGGTGCTGGCAGTGCCAGCCACCCCACCCCACCCCACCCTGTTCTCCGGAAGACCAGTGCGTTCTCTTAACCGCTGAGTGAGGCAGCCCACCACCCCCGTTCTTCTGAAGCAGGGTTCCCTCTGTAGCCCTGGCTGGCCTTGGAATTCAGATCCACCTGCCTCTGCCTCCTGGGTGCTGGGATTAAAGCTGGGCAGCACCATGCCCTGGTGCCACTTCTAAGCCCTCTTTCCTCCTCTCTTACAGCGCCATCAAATGGAACTTTACCAAGGTAAGAGTGGCTGGGGTTTCCGTGTGTGTGTGTGTCTGGGGTTTCCTTGTGTGAGCGTGTGGCTGGGGTTACCGTGTGTGAGCGTGTGGGTGTGGCCCGCTCCCCTGCACCCTGTCAACATGTCCTCTCTGCCCCAGTTTCTCATTGATAAGAATGGCTGCGTGGTGAAGCGCTATGGCCCCATGGAAGAGCCCCAGGTAAGCACCTTTGCGGAGGAGGGCTGGGTGAACGAGCCAGGCCAGGGCTGCCTGACCCGTGTCATCTCCCCACAGGTAATAGAGAAGGACCTGCCGTGCTATCTCTAGCCCTACAAGTGTGTGCCCCGGCCGAGCCCCCTGCCCTGTGACCCCTGGAGCCTTCCACCCCGGCACTCATGACGGGCTGCCTGCAAACCAGCCTGCTGGTGGGGCAACCCCGAGGACCTGGCGTGCATCCCCGCCGGAGGAAGGTCCAGAGGCCTGTGGCACTGGCTCGAGCTTCAGCTTGGCTGCCTTGTGGGAATAAAATGTAGAAATGTGCGTGTGTGTCCGTGGGTCAGGAATTGAGCGCACTGAGGATTGAGCAGTGCCTGTCCCTGGGACTCTGTGGGTGCAGATTGGAGTCAGCTGATCAAAAGCCCCTACTGACCCCGAGGCTCACAGGCCCACTGCCTGCAGTGGGTGTGGCTGAGCTGGGGCAGGCCAGGAGGGGCCAGTGGGTCCGATTGCGGCTGCCCCTGAACTACTGGCCCATGGCCTCTTCACTCCCTGTGGGGCTATGGCCTTTGGACTCCCAGGCTGAAGTGACTCTAGGACTGTGCATAAGTACCAGCAGATGGCCCCCTGCCTCCAGTGGTCCCTGCCAGCCCTTCCAGACTGCCCTGGAGGTCTCCCTCTTCCCGTCTGCAAAGCCGGGGACCCGGGATCCTCACCCCAACTGACCGCAGCTGCCACTGGTCTGGGATTAATTCCACCCCCCAGCATGTCCCAACCAGCCCACCTGAGGCAGGTTTGCTGTGTGGCCCTGTCACCTGTGTCTGTTAAGTGGGTGGCAGCCACTGTTCTGTGAGCCTCAGGTCCCCTCTTCCACTGGCCTTAACACACTGGGAAGTAGGCAAAAGGCGGTATATTTAAAAAAAGATCTTTACATATATACATCAGTTCATTATAAATACATAGAAACCAGGGCCCGCCGGCTGCCCACATTCTGGGGCTGGGGAGGGGCGGTTGACAATAATTTAGGGAGCAGGGGATTGCATATATTAACGGGGTCTGCCCCGTGGAGCCCCCGTAGACGGCGGAGCCTGAGCACCGGGTTTCCTGAGTTACCAGCTCTCTGGGACCACCAAGCCCCACAGCGTCCAGGCTGGGAGCTGCTGGAGCGGGGGAGGCCCAGAGGCCCCACACCGCGCTGGCTTGGAAGGCACTGCGGCCTGGCACCCTCAGTAGTCGTGGGAACCGTCTGCTTGCAGAGGAGCCGGTGGGCCTCCCTGCCCGGGACAGTGGTCCAGAGTGGCGGCCTATGAGTTTGGGAAGGGCGGACTGAACTGGATGACGCTCTGCCGCTCGGTGGCCCCACCACTCACGCCCACCAGGGGGGCAGGGTTCTGAGGGGGCACGGCGCGCAGAGAGCGGAGCATGTCCTCCAACACCTCCCTGAAGTTGATGTCGCAGCCCTGGTGTGCCAGCTCCGCGGGGTTGGTGGCAGGATCCCTCACGCCCAGCATCAGAGAGCTGGGGTCTGGGGGCGGCAGCGAAGGAAAGGTGAAGCGTGGAGGCGGCGGGAAAGCCTCGGCCGGGGGGCTGTAGGTCAAGTCCAGCACCTCACCAGGACCGCAGGGGAGCGCGAGAACGCGCGGAGTGGGTGGACGTGCGGACAGACCGTGTGTGCTGCGGCGCTTCACCTCGGCCTCCATCAGCTGCAGCTCCTGCAGGACGCGGGGGACGCAGCCCTCGGGGATCTTGATGCCTGTGGCGGCGCGGGCACGCGGTCAGGGCCTACCTGGGACCCCCTTCTCCGGGGACCACGCACCCACCGCCCCACTCACCCACTTGCTTCTTCTTGTCCTTGGTCTTGAGACGCACGATCTGCAGGTAGCTGCTGCTGCTGACGTCCGCCATGACGGCGGCGATGCGGCCCCACACGCGCAGCAGCGCCCCGCACAGCATGTAGTGGTGGCGGAGGCGCAGGCCCTGGGAGCAGGCCTTGCCCTCCTGTGCCAGTCGGCAGCGCTGGTTCCTGTACCGGAGGGGGGGGGAGGGGGAGGAGGGCGCCGAGCGCTGGTCAGCTCGCAGCAGCGGCAGCGCGCGCTCGCTTTCCCAGCCCACAGGGCCCTGGGACACTGGGCGCCCGGCCCCACCCTCTCCTGTAGCTTCCCGCCCAGGGCCTCACCAGGTGCTGTGGCTGCAATGCTCCAGAGAGAGGGCATAGCTGCTCTCCCAGGGCTCCCTGGCCTCTTCCGCGGTGACCTGGGGACGCAGGCCCAGGAGTCAACAGGGGAAACAGGCTCAGGAGCTCCCCTCGAGTTCCCAGCCGCCATAAAGGGGGTAGGTCCTTCCCTACCCGGTGGAACTTCCGGCACAGACTGTCCAGGGTCTCCAGCTGGCTCTGGCGGCCGATGTTCGGCTTGTACACAGTGAAATACTCGCCGCGATTCTGTTCTGCCAGGAGGCAGCTCGTCTTGCTCCCTCGTACCTAGGATCCAGAGTGGTGAGGCCTATGGCCAGCAGGGTCGCTGGGGAGGTGGCTGGCAGAGCACCCATCAGGAGTGGTCCACTCACCTTGTAGGAGAGGTAGAAGCCGTCATACGGACCCTTGAGCTCCAGCGACCTGTCCAATGCGTCTTCCCACTTCATACCGCGGTCTACACTGATCTGCCGTGGGAAGTGGGGTATTAGCAGGTTTGGGTGCTGGAGCCAGGGCTTGGGCTGGGTGGTCCTCTGCTCACCTTGTAGAAGACCACCTGCCCATCCTGTGGGTGTCCTGGTGCCAGGAACACCTGCTGGCTTTCTTCATGGATCTCATTGATGCCGGGGGCCAGGTCTGAGGAGAGGGTAGGAGGTCAGGGGTCAGGCCGATGGAGCTGATTCTCTTATATTTCCCATCAGCAGGCCCCAAAAGCCTGGAGGCCAGATGTCCTGTGGGTAGGCGTCTGGTAACCTCCAGGCTGGGTACTCGGCATCCTGTGCCCAGCTAACCAGAGAACTGTCTGTTGGTAAGGACGGATCTGTCTTTTTGTGTCCCTGCCTGTGTGCCCAGTGTGTGCTGTGCTGAGGTGGCCAGAAGACACCGTGGGACCCACTGGAGCGTCCCACTGCAGGCTTGCGTCCTGGGAGACTTGACCCCGCCCTCTGGAAGAGCAGCGACCTCACTGCTGCTCTCCCTCTGGCCTCTGTTTGGTCTGCTTTGAGGCAGGATCTCAAGTAGCTACTTTTAGTCGAGGGGGTGAGCCCAAACTCATCCTTCTGCCTCTGTGAGCGCTAGGTTGACAGGCGGGCGCCAGCACACTTAGAAACGACCATTTCTCTTCAGGGTCCACAACGTTAGCCCAGGCCGAGCAGACACTACGTTCAGTGAGCGCCAGCATGGAGCTGGCTCTCAGAGCAGCCCAACACAAAAACATTAGCTTCCCTCAGGGCGGGGTACCACACCCTGTAATCCAACAGAAGCAGTCCGATCTCTGTCAGCTCCAGGCCAGCCAGGGCTACACAGAGAAACCCTGTCTCAGAAAATCAGAAGTTAAAAAATAAAAACAGCAAAACCCAAAAACAAGCCCACAGGTAGCCTCCTGGAAGCACTGAGGTTATGTTGCTTCTCTTGGTCGGCTGGCTGGTTTTGTAGCCGCAGTTTGAGCCCTTCTGCGGGCTGCCCAGCGTCAGCAGGTTAGCCTCTCTGGGCCTCATCGGCAGCCACTCAACGGTCACTTCCCACAGAGGCTGCACTGGTCCCTGGGCCCCACCTCTGGAACTCACCCAGGATGCCCATGTCGTATCTGCCCTCCTTCTTGTCTATCTCGATGAGGTGGTCAAAGGTGTCAGAGAAATACTGGAACAGAGCATTCTGCTTGTGGACCTCCAGCCCAAGGATGCGATTCAGGAACTTGGTGATGGAGCAGTCTGCAGGTGGATGGAGTTGGGTCTCAGGCCAGCGTCCTCACCCTCCCAGTCGCTATCTTCCTCGTAATTGGGGGACTCACCCTTTTCCACATCCAGGCAGCCGGTGCGTGACTCTCGGACGCCGATGCCCACAGACAGCAGCCCCTGCTTCATGTCTGCGGGGGAAGACCTAACGCTGACCTCGGATCCCAGGGCGCCCTCTCCCTAGAATCCCACCCACACCCAGTCCCCAAATTCTGACAGAACCAGCCCCCACTGTACTCCCCACGCCTCCCTGACTCAGGAGCCCAGGCTCACCACGGAAGAAGGCGGCATCCCCTCCAGGGTAGCCCTGGGGCAGGGGCACCCGGCTGTCTGTCTGGCCCAGGATCGTGGCAAGGACACGGCTGAGCGCACGGGCGCCGTACTGTGGGGCAGATGGGGTGAGTGAGGCCGGGGCAGGGGGCGGCCTCCCCGAGGCTGCTCACCCTCTACCTACCTTGTTCTCGAAGTTGTACTTGCTCAGGTCTCGGGACTCAGTGGCTCGGCGATCTCCGTGGGTCAGGGCACCCTGTTAGGGTGGCCCAGGACAATCTGTGATTCAGATTCCAGCATCCCCTCAGCCTGCCCCAGTCCCGCCCAGCAAGGCTCCCCCCCTCCCCAGACCTTGCCACCCCCGGCCTGCTCACCAGGCTCTCCAGCCGCTTGGCCACAATGGAGGCAAACCTGCGCTCCCCTGCCAGCTCGGAGATGAGGAAGACGTACTCGGGTGCTGAGACTTGGTTGGACCTGTGGGTTCGGCCTAGGGACAAAAAGGCTCTAAGAGACTGGGGCAGGTTCCGGGGAAGGGCAGCCGGGGCGGGGCCAGGGCCTCACCAAACTGCTGAATGGCCCGGTCTGCGCTCCAAGGCAGCTCCAGTGTCATGTGTACGCGGCGCCGCTGGTTCTGGACACGCCGATCGGCTTGGAGGGAGACACCGGAGCTGGAAGCCTCAGAGATGATGGCCACGAGCTGGAGGTGGGGGGAGATAGGTCAGGGTAGTGGGGCCGCCCTCCTCGCTGCTCAGCTCCAGGTGCACGCACGGACCCCCACCTGGCAGCCATTCACTCGCACAGCCCTGGCCCTGGCCCTGGCCCCACCTTCTCGCCACTCATGAAGCGCTGCTTCTCCTTGAGGTTCACGTGGTCGATGGACAGGCCCTGTTCTGCTCTGGACTCAAAGACCACTGACCCGTCTGGCCTGGATACCACACGGCCTTTCCTGCCAGTCATCTGTGGTTGAACGGGGAGAAAGGAGGTCCCGACAGGGTCAGTGTGGTGGCCCCGGGGGCCCAGTGCACCATGGCCCTGTCTGAGGTACAAGGTGGCTCTGCTGGGACCCTGTGCAGGGAGCTGGTTTCCAATGTGGCCTCCGCAGCCATGAGGACTCCTGACACTACCAAAGT